AGCAGCGCAGGAGCAGAAGGAGCAGGGGGAGCAGGAGCAGCAGGGGGACCAGGCAAAGGCGGCGGAGGGGAACGAATCACCCCCGGACGGGAGGCTACCCGCGTTCTAGCGTAGCTTTCACTGCGGCCTGGGGTCAGGGTATGCGGGAAGGGCGTGCAGCAACAGTGGCCTCGCGTTTCCACCGACCGCGTGACCTTCACGACGATCCCTCACGAACCTCGCGCGCCACGTGCGGCGCAGGGGCGGGGGGCGGCAGACCGTTCACGCATCCTTCCACCATAAGGGGATGTGAAGACACTGCGAGCGGGACAGGCTGTGCACAGAAAATCCAACATATGGCCTCCCGCACCCGGGTCAAGGCCACCGGACTGCTCGCCCTGGTAAGAGGGACGATCGTAGGCCTGCGCACCCAAAGTAGGAACCATCGCAAGGCGTCGCACCCAATTGCTCTTCAAGGCGGGAAGCTCAGTGACGCCATTGACCTGCTAATTCCTTGCGCCCTCTCGAGACATGTAGCCCGCGCTGGGGCGACGGGGCCGTTCTGACCGACGGGCACAAAGCGCCGAACCTGCACCACTCATGAAAGACCAAAGACGTTGCGATCGATGTCTTTTCAGTCGCGGCGCGACAGAAGCGATCCGCTCGCACGTCGAGCAACCCGGGCTACGGCGTTGCGAATTGTCACGCAAGCAATAAGCTGGATGGGAAAAAGGGGGCGCGGTAGAAAACATGCACCTGATGGAAGATCACCGCGTGGAATCCAGTGACAAAACCATACCCCGAGAGAGGCAGCGACACCACCGAACAGCGTCAGCGAAGAGAGGACACAGCACCACTTCTTCACAGTGCGCAGCTGTGGGGGGAATGGAGGGAAGGGGGACAGCGAGGAGGGATGAGAGGGGACGAGGAAGGACAATCAGGGAGGCGGATGAGGGAGGAGGATGGGGGAGAAGGATCTGGAATGAGAAAGAGAAAAGAAGGAGGAGCAGAACGAGAAAGGGCAGGAAAAGGATGAGAACGAACGGCGGGGTGGGGGAAGGAGGAGGGGGGAGGGAGGTAGGGAGACGAGGAGTAGAGGGCAGAAAATACAGCCCCATAATAATCACCCCGACAGGCGAAGCCGTTCAGTAAACGCACGCACAAAAAGGAATCGAACAGGGCAGAGCTGTGTAGTAAACGCCCACGGCCGTTTAGTAAACGCCAATGATTGGGTCCGCGTGGTTTTCCTCCCTTGAAGGAGCCCGCGGGGAGAGAGTAAGAGGGGGAAGGACGGAAGGGAGCCGAAGCGGAGAGGGAGGAGGATGGGTTCGTGGTGGTGGCAATGAACGTTGCCGCCCCGGGAGTCGCCTCGATCTTTCCTGCCTCCGCGGTGGTCACCTCCTCGCCGGTGGTCGACTCGGCCGCCTGCTCCTCGGCGGCGCTCGCCTCCTCACCAGGTCCAGGTGTTCTCACCCCGGTGGTCGCCGACGTCTCCTTGCTCAGGGAGGGAAGAGAGAGCGGGGAGGCGGAAAGGAAAAAAGAGGAGAGAAAGAGAACGGAAGAGGATGGAAGATAAGCAAGAGAAGGAATCAGGAACGAGAGAAGAAAATGGAGGAAAAGGAAGCTGGAAACACGGACGAAGAGCGGGACGAAGGAGGAGCTGGAAAAAAGAATGAGAAGAAAAAGTGATAGGAATAAGGAGGAATAGGAAAAAGGAGGAAGAGAGAACAAGAGAGGGGCGCGGAAACAGAGACAGGAAGAGAATGAGAAAGACAGATACAGAGAGCAAGAGAAAGAAAGGAGGAGGAGGAGGAAGAGGAGGAGGACGACGAGAAGGAGGAGGGGGAGGAGGATGAGAAGTGGCACCCCTGTGGGGACAAATTATCCAGCCGACCGCAGCGCCGACTCTTATCCTGGCACCAGCGCTGCCTCCGGAGACCTGACCCACAAAGCTGGGGGAGCGCACAGAGCAAGAACGAACAGGCGGAAAAAAGGAACGCACACGATGAAACGAACAAGACAAAACTAACGGAGAAGGGCGCGCACGAGCCTGAATCTTCGTGCCGAAGATCGCAGCCTGGCCTGTGACAGCTCCCTCGCACGTCTGGCGGGGCGAAGGCAGCTCCTGCGAACCCTGGAAAACAGAAAGGACGGTGTCAATGGCAATAGCATGAGACAGAAGACAAGCTGACGGGGAGGCGGAGAGACAGACGGACGAGGAGAGCCCCAGCACAGAAGTAGATAGTGAAGCTGATGTCCAACTTTCGGGACGTATACAAGACATATCATATGATGTTCCATCGCATCACGAAGCACCAGCTCCACAGCCAAACACACAAGGACATCGTTGCTGTCGGTTGCGGCGGGCTGTGCTCCAAAACTTGAAGATATATTCGGGGGCACTGATGATGATGATGATGTTGATGAAGGCGGGTACCTTACGAGTTTGGAGGATATCGAGGCGGATAATAGCGAGGTCACTGGCACCAAAGAGGGAGCTGACCTAGGAATTTGACCAGACGAGGGACAATCACTGCGCAAATCGGGCACTTCCTCTCCTCAATGAATTTTCTGGATTGACATAGTGGCCGGCTGTACCTTGGGATATGGGAGCTCATCTATACTCTTTATCGCACACAACCACCCACACATGCAACATATTCCTCTTTCTATATTTTTACAAACCCGGGCGGCCGCAAAACCCTGCACCCCCCCCCCCCCCCCCCCAAACCGGACTCCTGGGATCCTGGGGCTTTGGGACCCTCCGGACGCCCATTGAAGCGGTCCCGAGTGCCTCAAGAGCGCTCCAAGACAGGCACAAAGCGCTCCAAGACGCCAAAGATAGCCCCAAGACAGCCTCAGGAGCCCCCAAGACGCCCCAAGCGGCCCCAAAGAAGCCTCCCAAGACGGCCCCGGGAGGCCGAAATGGTCAATTTTCCAATGTGTTTTTCGATGTTTTCTGCTTTCTCGCCATTTTAGCTTTCCGACGCTCCAAGACAGAACTAGAGGCCCTCAAGAGCGCCCCAAGATGGCCCGGGGGGCCCCCAAAACGGCCCCAACACGGCCCCAAGACGGCTCTGGAGCGCCCCGAAACAGCCCAAGAGGCGCCCAAGAAGGCCCAAGAGGGCCCCGAGAAAGCTTCAAACGAGCCCCCACAGGGCGTTCAAAAGTACAAACATCTAACTTTCCGCCCCAAGTGGGCCCCAGGAGGCCCCAGGAGGGCCCCAAGAGGCCCCAAGAGGCTTCCAAAGGCCCCGAGGACTCCCAAAAAGAACCCACGAGGCCCCAAAATGGCTCTCCAAAAGGCAGCCAAAACGGCCCCCCAAGAGGCTTCAAAACTGCTGAATCGCCCCACTTGGCCGCCACCTCCGGAACGGCTTCGCTGCGCTGCTCCGTTGTTTGCCAGACAGTGGCATCCCACGCAAAACACCAAAATGCTTGAAATCCCGGGTTCGCAACCAAATTCCCGGGAAATCGGTTGGGCGGTTTCTGGAGCGGCGCCTCTCGGTGCGACGCTGACAAATTGCTTTGCCGCTCCCCGACGGCACCTTCATTATCCCTCTCCCTCCTCCTCTTCCTCCTCATGATCTGGCAGTCCTTGGAGCCGCAGCCCCCTGGTCTGTTTCCATATGCGATCGCAGGGCATCTCCGTTTGTCTCACCCCCATGCGCAAGTCGAGACAGCACGCCGCCCCAATGCGTGCCTTACCTTACCTTACCTCATGATATTCCTCCCTTCGCCGCGCCTCCCTAAATCGTCCTCCACTTCTTTCCCGCCCCTTCTGTCCGACGTTTTGTCTTTCCGGAGCCTCCACGGCCGCTCTCATCGCCGCTGATCGGTCCGCTGGGACATTCTCATGGAGTCCCAGTGGCGCGCGGACCAGCAGAGCGAGGGCGCGAGCAAGTAAGGTGCAGGTCCGGGAACTGGGCGCGAACCGGCCGCGGTTCAAAGACCGTGGAGGGCCGCGCTAGACGCCAACGCGCGCAAGGGTTGAAGGACCAAGGTGCATGGCGCGAAGCGCCAATGCAGTCTTGTATCTATATATATATATACACAGATATACACATATACATTGTACAAAAGAGAACCAACCAAATTAGTATCTTCTTCCATGTAATATAGCAACCAGCGCCCTCGATCGCGATCTGGAAGCTCTTCCCGCTCAGTAAGCGGGAGGTCGTGGGCTCGAATCCCACAGGAGGCTTTTACCCTGGCAAGGTCCACGGATGGGGGCGCCCATGGCGCCCGCGGATGCGCCGCGTGGGGGCGCCGCCTCGACTGCGACGCGGCCAGCACTTGGCGCGCTGCCCGCCCTGCCAGCAAACAACACGAGGGCAGAGAGATTCGAGCTCCCAACCTTCTGATCTGGAGTCAGACGCGCTGCCGCTGCGCCATGCCCCCTCGTGCCAGAGGACACCGTCGCCGCGAACATCCACGCAAGCCCGACGGCCTGGCGCGCGCTGCTGCGGCGCAGCCTCAGGACAGAGTCCGAGCAGATGGCGGCGCGCAGCATCGTGGCCCAGGAGATCATCTCCAAACCTCCGCACTCGACTGGACATCCGAGCTCCTGGAGTCCAAAAAGCACCTGCGGAGAAAAACGACTGTCTCGGGGCACGGGCAAGTAATCGATACTGTCGTTCTCCTTCCCCGGGGCAACTTTTGCCATCGCATGGCGCCTTCCAATGCGGGGAAGGATGGGGGCACAGTAACTGTTGTGAGCTACGACAGGTTCGATCACCCCGAATCCCGGCTCATTGATCTCGTTCGCACGAGCTCTGGCTTTGCTACTGGCAGCGCTCCAAGCATGAGACCGCGCCCCTCGACCGACAGGGATGCCAAATGTGGTGACCATGTCCGTGATACCGAAGTCTGGGATGTCGACACCAGCCTCCAGGAACCCCCATCACCGCCTCCCCCCCCCTCCAAGATGTTCGAAAAAATCGGCTTGCATTTCTCGCTATTCAGAACCGCCCAGAACAAGGCCCAGCAATACGGAAGTAAGCAATGAGCCCAGGGATGGCCCGGTAGGCATTGAACACCACACCCTAAGTTTCATCCGCACATGCACACGGCACAACAGGCATACTAAGTTGGATCCCTCCCAACAAAAAAAAGCTCCGAGCAGCGGGTCGAATGCGAACGCGAACAGAATGCCGCGCAGCGGGCGCCCCCGACGCACCCCGCGACGCGCTCCAACTCCCGGCAGAAACTGCACCCCGAACTGCATTAATCAGCGAACGCGCAAGTAGAGAGCAAGCGCTGCATCGCGAACGGCGGAATGAAGCCCGAATGCTGACAGGACCTCAACAATCCAACCAGCAACATGTGAAGGGAAAGCTGCTCCGAGGTCGTAAGCCGCGCCTCCGACCGCCTTCCCGACAGAAAACCCCCCGGGTGGCCACGGAACCTTCGAGAACGCCGCCACTCATGTCGCGCCACCTATATGTCCGCACTGGGCGGGGCGCAGCTTTTCACGCACGACATGTTTGAGGGGATAAGCAATACACGGCGCCATGAGTTGCTTGTCAGCATTGCTTAGCGCAAGTGGGCGGGCCTCCTCCGGACGCTCTGTTCGGCCACCCCCGTTCGAGGCAGCGATTGACAGACAGCGCGCAGAATGCCGCCACTCACCACGCATGCACAGCGCGTGCACAGCGCGCCCATCACCACCTTTTTCCCGCATTTCCACGCTGGGTACGGGAGCCCTTCGGGCCCGGGGGCCGCGTCGCATGTAGTCATAGGAATGCGCCGAGACTGTTCCGGGCCGATGACCCACGGGCATCTCTGGTGGCCCCCGATGGCACACTGGTACTCATCTAGCTAGAGCTGCGGAACTAGATCCGGGAACTCCTTCGCGCGCGCGCTCGCAGACTCCTCCACGTTCAATGACAAAGGACCACATGCAGCAAGCGTGCGGGCACCATCTTCAGGCGAACGACGCGCCACGCTGGCCGGGCACCGCCGAGAGCACTGCCTGCCTCTTCGATGCGCACCCAGCCTCGCGAAGCCGCCGCATTCGCTCGATGCGATCGTCTTCCCCGGCAGGGGCAAGGTTCCTTGCACACATATTCCGTTCAGATTCATCAAGAACCTCTCTCACTGGGCGGCCGAGAAATCAATGGAATCCAGGCAGGCCCCCAGCGCAACGCTGTAGCACTTCTCCAACTCTCGACAGGCTTGAACAGCGTTCTTGCAGACTGCCGCTAAACCATCCCAGGAGGTCCTCAACAGTCTCACGCAACAGGAGACCTTCTCCGCGGGGCTCAAGCACCCTGCGAGGAAGAAGAAGAAGAAGAAGAAGAACAGAAAAAAAACAACCCTCGCAATGAACCGCGCGTCTAAACCAGCATTTAATCTCCAAGGGCCTCCCACGGGGCGCCCCGCGGAGCTCGCCCGGGCCCGGGGCCTGGCCCAGAACCCCCCCGAACTTAGCACGTGTAGCTGCCCAGCTAGGCATTGCAAAAGAGGGCGAAGAAGATCGGGGCAAAGTCGGATAGTCGCCGTAAGTTTTGGATCGGCCAAACGGCATTGAACTGGGGGGGGGGTGAAGCCGGCGGTAGGCAGGCTGGAGTATATCCTGTCGGTTCGCGATAACGGCATCGTCGTCTCCGTTCTACGCCTGCATGTGCAGCGAGGCTGGGAGAGCCCAACAAACCTCGGCAAACGCTGGGCCACGCACAGCGGGCCGTCGCCCACGCGCCCGGCGCCGCCGCGGAAGGCAGACGGGCCTCGCCCGACCCCGCAAAGCTAAAATCGCCCATCGAGAAGACAGCGCAGGAAGAGAGAGGGAGCATGGATTGTTTGATCTAGTCCATATGTTGTTTCACCTGGGTTTCGGGATTACCTGAAACGTAATGCACATTGAATACATGCAGACATGGAGATCCTGAGAGGGGCGAGACACTATGTAGACGGCCAGGAACAAGCACTCGATGCACGATGCGTTCAAATTGCGTCTCCAACTTCTCGGACATACTCCAAACAACTCCACCAGCCCCGACAGCAGAGCAGAACGAGCCAGAGTGGGAATTCGATTGGACTTCTGCCCGAAGAGTTGCTAGATCATCCGAACACTCGTGCGCCTCCTGGAATGTACGTACTTCATACTTCGAGAGGAGGCCCTTGGCACAAGCATACGCGCACGCTTGAGTCCTATGATCACCTCCCAGAGATTCAAAAAGAGCACGGTCGTTCCACGACACAATCCTCACTTGAACGCTGGGACACAAGGATGAGCGCGCTCACCCATCTCTGAAGAGTCCGAGGATGAGGTGGAGGAGCTGGAGATGCAGTCCGTAGATATCCCACGCGACGTTGCTCCTGAGCCACTCGAGGTGCAAGGCGAACAAGAAGAAGCGGAGGCGGAAGACTAAATAGACGCCGCGCGCATACTCAGCTCATTATCCCGTTGCGACCCTACCTAGGAGATGGAGCCTCTAGGAAAGCAACATTAGTAGGAGCGGTAGACGCCGTCCTCCTCCTTCCCCGCATCGTCGTAGTTGTAGCAGTAGTAGTAGTAGTAGTAGTAGTAGTAGTAGTAGTAGTAGTAGTAGTAGTAGTAGTAGTAGTAGTAGTAGTAGTAGTAGTAGTAGTAGTAGTAGTAGTAGTAGTAGTAGTAGTAGTAGTAGTAGTAGTAGTAGTAGTAGTAGTAGTAGTAGTAGTAGTAGTAGTAGTAGTAGTAGTAGTAGTAGTAGTAGTATAGTAGTAGTAGTAGTAGTAGTAGTAGTAGTAGTAGTAGTAGTAGTAGTAGTAGTAGTAGTAGTAGTAGTAGTAGTAGTCGTACTAGTACTAGTAGTAGCAGTAGTAGTAGTAGTAGCAATAGTAGTAGTAATAGTGATAGCAGTCGTATCAGTAGTAGTAGTAGTAGTAGTAGTAGTAGTAGTAGTAGTAGTAGTAGTAGTAGTAGTAGTGGTAGTAGTAGTACTAGAGGTAAGTAGTAGCAGTAGTAGTAGTAGTAGTAGTAGTAGTAGTAGTAGTAGTAGTAGTATGAGCCCCAGTACCGCCGACGCCACGCCGTAAGTGAAGCAGCAGCAGAAGCAGGCAGCAAGTCGCCGAGGCAGCAGCAAAAGCAAGCAGGCACGGAGATGAGGGCGGGGCATTGGGGAGCTAGGTCGGGCTCAAGACGGCCCACAGACGGACACATGCATGGAACATACGTGCGCACACACATATAAGTACATATATATATATATAGCCGCAACAATAGTGGATGTTGTGCTGCGCTATGCTATGTTATGCTATGCTATGCTCTACTATGATATGCTATGCTATGCTTTTGCTTTGCCTTCGCTTTTGCCTTCACTTTTGCCTTTGCTTTTGCTTTTGCTTGGCACCCAGGTAGCGCAACCGGGGGAACCATGCGTTTGTGTTTACCTTTGCTGTTGCTTTCGCTTGGCTCCCAGGGGACAGGGGGAACCGCCCGGGGCGATTTACACTACCCGGCCCCTTTAAGCAAACATAGTAAGAACCCTTCTAGGCAGAGCCTGGGTAGGGAATAAGAAAACATTGATATACTCTTCGAACGTCCCCGTGCGGTGGCTTGTCAGTGTGCGCCCTCTTCTGCTGACTTGCGCGCCTCAGCCACGGCCTGATTGATCACGCTCCACTGGGTTAGCTCGGACTGTTTCGGCTCGAATGTGAACACCCTAAACTCATCTTTGAAACGGGCAGGCTTCGCGTAAACCAGCTCCCACAAATCATCATCATTGCTCACCTGAAGAACGCCTGTGTTTCCGTTCACACCAAATCTGCATGAAGGGTTCTACCGCCGTGAAGCAGCGACCAGATCTTTCATGCCCTTGCAGACGGCCGAAAATGCACGACGCCGATTGAGGACATCAATCGGGAGATCACCTCGGATACGGAGCGGGTGCTTTGTGTGCTTCCTCGGGTCAGTCCACATGTGGCCTGTGTTGTTGAACTGGTCCTGGAAGTCGGATGCAGCCATCTCACTGTTGAACGTTATCTTGTAATTGACCCCGACGCGATGGAACGTGCCCAGCGTGCCTTCCCACAGGCACTGCGGGTACACCATCTTCAGGTCCTCGAAAAGCGTTTCGCGGAACTTCGCGAGCAGGGGTCTCGGGAAACCGCCGACAAACTTGGTTTTCTTGTCCTTTGACTCCTCGACCATGCCCACACGCCTGAACTTGTTGCCGTTCGAGGTGCCGCGCCGCGTAGACCCCGTGAAGCCAGATAATCCAGGGCGCACCGATCCAGCACAGGTGGACGAGTCCCGTGCCGATTGTTCTGCCTGCTCTTGAAGCTGTGGTATCGTGGTGGCTTGCTTGTCAATCCTTTCACGCTAGGCTTCCATCTCCATCTGGAGCTTACCCAACTTGGCGTTGGTCCCTGCGCCGTCGTCATCTCACGGTTGTGATGACTTAGCTTCGTGTCGATCGCATTCGTCAGGTTCTCCTGAGATACCCTCATGGAACTCTCCATGACGTCCTTCAGCTCGGAGAGGATCATCTGGCCACCAGCCATCGCGCACTGTCTGGGAAGAACCTGGCTCGTGGGTGTGTGCCAACCCTAAGCGCCCCAGGACGACAGGATGCGCCTCGCTCGTGAGGCTTGGACTTCGGGCCTCCCTGTCGGCTGCAACAAGGCTCTAGCTCCAGAGTTAGTTAGAACCTTGAGCCAAAATGGCGACGAAGGGAGGATGAGGAGGAGGAGGAGGAGGAGGAGGAGGAGGAGGAGGAAGAGGAGCAGGAGAATGAGGAGGAGGAGGAGGAGCTGGTCACAGATCTTCGGCGATTCTGACTTGTTCAATCCCCGCGTTTCCATCAATTTCGGCGTCTGAGTGGCATTTACGGGCCCCAGGGACATCAGAAAACAACCCAGAATGAACAAACAGTCCCAGGGGGAAGCAAGATCTAGGGGGTCCACCGATTGGGAAAAAAACAATCCGCCGGAGGTCTGGGGTCGTGGTCGCCTCCCCAGTAGTAGTGGCCACCCCCGTCGACAACGACCACAGTGCTGACGTCGAATTGACGTCGTCTTCAGGCTCAGGTTCAGGCTCCGAGCTCAGGTTCTCCATCAGGCGCCTGTTCTCTGGGAGCTCGAGCTCCTCATCCAGGAGAAGGGCACTTACCCAGACCTCCGCCGACTCGATGCCGGCCTCCCAGGTCTCCCTCCCTCCCCCAGGCTGGCGTTCGATGCCGAGCCGTTTCCGTGGACGGCCCGTGAGCCTGGAGGCGGCTGCTCGAGTCGGTGGACTCCCAGGTCTCCCTCTCTCCCCCGGGCTGGCGTTCGGTGCCGAGCCGTTTTCGTGGACGGCCCGTGAGCCTGGAGGCGGCCCCTCCAGACACCAGGGGTGGCGGAGAGGCTGCGGCGCGACCCGCTCCAGTCGCCCGAGGGTCTGGGTATACGCCTGGTGTGCGGGCCAGGAGGCAGTGTACTCCGAGTCTTTTAATAAGCGTCGGGGGGCGTCACCCCCGTCGACAGCCCTACATCGACCCCCGTCGCGGGCAGCCACCGCGCGCCAAAGGCGCTCCGACATCCGTTGCGGCGCGACGACGAGGCGAGGTTGAACCCCGTCGGGGGGATAGCCCCCCACGCTTAATACGAAGCCCAAAGTACGCGCCGACCCCGCGCCCGACTGGACACGGGCGCGGGCTGGCGCGGGTGTCATGGCCGACACCATCCATTCCCGAGAGCCGCCCGAACGGGGCGGGAGCTGGGGTCGAAGGATCACACCGCCATCGGCGACGCTTGGATGGACAGGATCTCGCCGCATCGCCGATGCATCGGTGATGCAGGCAGGGCTCTCTGACTAGAGGTCCACGGGGGTGCCCAGAGGTCCATCGGCTCGGTCCCTCGAAGTCCCCAAGCGTCGCAGAGGGCACACGAAGGTCCCCGGAGTTCCCAGAGATCTCCAGAGACCCAAAAATATGAAAATACATCCAAAACCGTCATCTGCTCCAGCCCCACCTGGGCGGCCAGTAAGCAACTCCTTGGCCTTCTCCAGATCCGCGAGCAGCTGCAAGATCCTGGAGGAACAAGAAAGATGACGATACGGGTGCTACTCGTGCCTCTGCTAAGGTGCGTCCTGGCCAGGAGTCCGAAGCGAGTCCGGCCGTGGCGACGAGGGCTCCTCGGACGGCCACAGATGCGAGAACGAGGGAAATGCTTCCATATCGGCATGTCTCTCCTCGGACCCACCGACCAAAATCCACAAACAGATTCCGTCTCCGACCCCTCCCTGGGTCTACATCCTGGCCAGCCTTTCACCCCCGATCGATGTTCGAGGATCCCTGGGCCCGAAGCGAGCCTCTATAGGCCGAAAGCCGGTCAAACTCATCTAACCTTGTCCGTGCGGCAGGTCCGTGTCGTGGCGACCCCAGCGTTGGTTGCTGACACAGCGTGGACATCTCAACCTTGGGCGACCGGCGGCCTTTCGATCGCCAGATCGCTTCAAATTGGTCGATGATGGGCCACTGGCGGAGTTCAACCTTGACCGCCCGCGACAAGGTCGCCACCGCGTCGACACGACGCGGGCCTGGCGTATCGACAGGCTTCCTTCCGTGAGCTCCGAGTGTTCTGTTCGCGAAGGGTGGGCAGCGAGGGCTCGGGGCCGTTGCGATCCGCCTGTCCGCCCAGGAAGGAGAACGAAGGAGGGAAGGAGGAGGGAGGGAAGGAGGAGGGAGGGAGGAGGGAGTAGGGAGGAAAGAGGGAGGAGGAGGGAGGGAGGAGCGAAAGAGGAGGGGGGAGAGAGGAGGGAAGGGGGAGGACAACGGAAGAGGAGCAAGCATTGGCAGGACTGGGTTTTGGTGGTCGGTCCACTGACACGCGCTTGGGGACGCCTCCCATGACCCACTCCAGTCTTCGGAGCTGCCGCCACCCGAAAACACACACACACACACACACTATATCTATATATATATGCATACATACATACATACATACATACATACATACATACATACATACATACACATACATACATACATACATATACATACATACATATACATACATACATACACATACATACATACATACATACATACATACATACATACATACATACATACATACATACATACATACATACATACATACATACATACATACATGTGTATGTATATATATATGCGTCGGCGGCTGGGCGGAGGGCAACTGCTGCGGCGGATAGGCAACAGGGGACACGCCGTATGCATATTAGGGCGCGCGGCGGGAAGAGAGCAAGCCCGGCCACTCACAGCTGCCGGCTGCGGCGGGGGAAGCGCCAGGTGGGGCAGCGCCGGCACAGGATGTACTGAACTGAACTGAAGCTGGGGGGGGCAGCCAGGAGCTGCAGCTGGTGGCGAGGAGAAAACGAAGCGTAGCCCAACCCGGTGGACCGAGCACAGGTCCAGGGATGAGCCAACGCACCGAGACCGCAAGGCCTGACAAGCACGTGCGAGGATATGGGCGAAGCCAGGACGGACCAGCCCCAGCTTCAGGCACTGCGCCGCGGGCACAAGGGCGGGCGCAGGACGGCACAGAGCTGGATGCGGCTGAAGCACGTGCCGACCAGCACAGACAAGGGGCACAGGAAAGGCAACCAAGGCTTTTGTTACATATAGGTCAGGGGGCACGCACCCCGAACCAGAGGTGTCGCCGCCATCTCCATCGCCAGCGCCGCCAACCCCTGTGTTCCCTCCCACCGTGCGACGGCGCTGCCGGGGCGGGCAGCCCCTGCCCCTCCTCGCACGGGCTGGCCAGGGAGGGCCCCAGCTTCAGCCCCCACATCTCGCTGAGCAGCACCAGGGACGGCTATTACTGCCTCCGCCCATCCTTCTCGCAAGTGCCGATCGGGGGGGTGCTGTAGCACATGATGGAAGGCTCCAGCTTCACTTCCAACATCTCGCTGAGCAGCGCCAAGGACAACTGCCACTGCCGCCACTGCCGTCCGCTGCCACTGCCGCCACTGCCCGTTCGCGATGCCGCCACTGCCGTCCGCTGCCATCGTGCTGCCACCGCCGCCCCTCCCCACTCTCGTGCTGCCGCAGCCGTCCTCGCAATCTGCTTCTCCTCCACCCGTGCCAGTGCCGTTGCCACCGCCGTCCCTCCCAACTCCTCCTTGCTCAGCTTGATGGCAGGCTCCAGCTTTACTAACAACCTCTCGCTGGGCGGCGCCAGGGCCGGCTGCCACTGCTCCTCTCCGTCTTTCTCGCACGCACGCGCTGTTTGGACTGCTGTAGCTTATGATAGCGGGCTCTTGCTTCACGACCAGCATCCCGCTGAGACTCGCCAGGGCCGGCTGCCACTGCTCCCACCAGCTCTTCTCGCACGCGCGGCTCGGAGGGCTATAACAGATGAGGACGATGATAATGATGATGATGATGATGCTGATGATGATGATGATGATGATGATGATGATGATGATGATGATGATGATGATGATGATGATGATGATGATGATGATGATGATGATGATGATGATGATGATGATGATGATGATGATGATGATGATGATGATGATGATGATGATGATGATGATGATGATGATGATGATGATGATGATGATGATGATGATGATGAAAGGCTCCAGCTTCACTCCCCAGAGGTCGTTGAGCAGTACCAGAAGCGGCCGCCGCTGCCCCTGTCCACCCTTCTCGCACGCACCACTCGGGGCGCTGTAGCAGATGATGGAAGGCCCCAGCTCCACTTCAAACATCTCGCTGCGCAGCGCCAGGGACGGCTGCCACTGCCGCCACTGCCGTCCGCTGCCACTGCCGCCACTGCCCGTTCGCGATGCCGCCACTGCAGTCCGCTGCCGTCACGCCGCCACCGCCGTCA